GGTTGTGTTACTGGTTCAGTTGTTGTGGTGTGGTTGTGTTACTGGTTCAGTTGTTGTGGTGTGGTTGTGTTACTGGTTCAGTTGTTGTGGTGTGGTTGTGTTACTGGTTCAGTTGTTGTGGTGTGGTTGTGTTACTGGTTCAGTTGTTGTGGTGTGGTTGTGTTACTGGTTCAGTTGTTGTGGTGTGGTTGTGTTACTGGTTCAGTTGTTGTGGTATGGTTGTGTTACTGGTTCAGTTGTGGTGTTGTTGTGTTACTGGTTCAGTTGTTGTGGTATGGTTGTGTTACTGGTTCAGTTGATGTTGTGTGGTTGTGTTACTGGTTCAGTTGTTGTGGTGTGGTTGTGTTACTGGTTCATAGGTTGTTGGGTTGTCGTGTTACTGGTTCATAGGTTGTTCTGTTAACCATATGTATCAGATTACATTTGAACGGTGCCAAGGGTCAACAGTGATTGGAGCATTGATTAGTACCATGATTACAATAAGTTGTGGAGTTAGTAGATGGGGACACTGGTAACCTCAGCATGTAATCAAACACAGAGAGAAGCACATGATCGGAGATTAAAGACATATCAGCATCGGCTATAGCTGTGAATGAGAGAGGTGAAGTGTGTCACCACATGTTACAACTAGGTGGTAAGGGACTGAGAGTGAAAGTAGGTGATTGCCATGTCTTTGACTCCTGTCAGTGCCTTATTAGCTACAGGTGTGTGGTGAGAGATGGAACCACTTATTTCAGTAAGATGGTACCCTGTATGTATCTAGCTAGTCGTTTTGTGATGGAGATATATCCTATGTGTGTGGTAGGGTGGCCTGTCAGCATTGAACTGGGATGAGACAGGATGTTTTAGGTGCAGGAGAGTAGGTAGGGGAATCCCCAGATCTGTGGTATTTTTATTCTCTCAGGCGAATCCCCAGGTTTGTGATGTTTTGATCATTCCAGGAGAATTCCCAGGTCTGTGATGGTTCTATGATGTTTCCTGGCTCGGGGAAAACCCAACGTCAAAAATATTAGAGATCTCCATTGAATCTCCAACAATTTTATTGTTTAATATGGAATTTCTAGGTTCTGTGAAGTTTGTTGGCCTGGGGAACTCTCTAGGTCTGATGCTTGCTATCTCTGTAGAATCCCCAGGGTTCTGTGATGGTCTGATGATTGCTATCTCTGTAGAATCCCCAGGGTTCTGTGATGGTCTGATGATTGCTATCTCTGTAGAATCCCCAAGGTCCTGTGATGGTCTGATGATTGCTATCTCTGTAGAATCCCCAAGGTTCTGTGATGGTCTGATGCTTGCTATTTTCTGTAGAATCCCCAAGGTCCTGTGATGGTCTGATGATTGCTATATTCTGTAGAATCCCCAAGGTCCTGTGATGGTCTGATGATTGCTATCTCTGTAGTATCCTCAAGGTCCTGTGATGGTCTGATGATTGCTATATTCTGTAGAATCCCCAAGGTTCTGTGATGGTCTGATGCTTGCCATTTTCTGTAGAATCCCCCAGGTCCTGTGATGGTCTGATGATTGCTATCTCTGTAGTATCCTCAAGGTCCTGTGATGGGCTGATGATTGCTATTTTCTGTAGAATCCCCAAGGTCCTGTGATGGTCTGGTGATTTCTATATTCTGTAGAATCCCCAAGGTTCTGTGATGGTCTGGTGATTGCTATCGCTGTAGAGGCCCCAAGGTCCTGTGATGGTCTGATGATTGCTATTTTCTGTAGAATCCCCAAGGTCCGGTGATGGTCTGATGATTGCTATATTCTGTAGAGTCCCCAAGGTTCTGTGATGGTCTGATGCTTGCTATCTCTGTAGAATCCCCAAGGTTCTGTGATGGTCTGATGATTACTATCTCTGTAGAATCCCCAAGGTCCTGTGATGGTCTGATGATTGCTATCTCTGTAGAATCCCCAAGGTCCTGTGATGGTGGTCTGATGATTGCTATTTTCTGTAGAATCCCCAAGGTTCTGTGATGGTCTGATGCTTGCTATCTCTGTAGAATCCCCAGGTCCTGTGATGGTTTGATGCTTGCTATTTTCTGTAGAATCCCCTAGGTCCTGTGATGGTCTGGTGATTGCTATATTCTGTAGAGTCCCCAAGGTTCTGTGATGGTCTGATGCTTGCTATCTCTGTAGAATCCCCTAGGTCCTGTGATGGTCTGGTGATTGCTATATTCTGTAGAGTCCCCAAGGTCCTGTGATGGTCTGATGATTGCTATCTCTGTAGAATCCCCAAGGGTCCTGTAGTGGTGAAGACTTTACCTGCTGATATTTCCTGCTGTAATAACACCAGGAGGAAGTGTTTATTTGCTTACCAATCTGACAGTGTGTTTGTTGATAATGCCAATGTCTGGTACTCTGGCCAGATAATGACAGCCAGAGACCTAGCCCATCATGTGTAATACAAAACATTGACCTACCTACATATATGTTATCATGTATATGTATTTGCAGTTTTCCTAAAATGACTTATGTATATTTTCTGTCATTTCTTTACTTAGAAAAATAAAGACAAGGATGTATCTGATATTTTTATACAGAAAATTTGATAAGAGGTGTAACATACTTTTACTATCACTCCATGCTATGGCATACATAATACATTATAATTTCAGTTTAAAGTTAAATGAAATGTCATTGGCTGAATCCAATTGGAGTTAAACCTGGGCGTTTAGTAGATATTTATCTGTTTTGGTATCTAGCCACAAGTTCACTTCCTCAAGCTATTTTCTGCTTGTGGAAATTTAAATTAAGAAAACATCTTTGCAATCTGACCTTTAACCCTTAAGTTACATGGGGATTGCCTGGGACTGTTATACGTCTGGAGGTAATGGCCACAGTGTACTATTGGTAACAGACATGCAATAGACATTTGTGTCTAACGTTGTAATCCCATTGTAATGGCCAGACCTGGCAATGTCTTCTCTAATCTACTCAACTTTACAATGCTAGTTTCAGAGTTATTGGTAATTGAAGCACAGTGTATGAGGAAATGCCTTACCTCTCAGCCACATAAACCAGGGACCTTACCTAGCTCAGATTCACAAAACACGCACAAACAAATTAGGAGCAAGTTGGAGATCACGTTTAAAATAATAACGACAGGAAAGGCTTTCACCAACTTATTACTTGACTGGCTCGTGGAACAGATTAATCATTATATACTAACCAGGTCTATCAGTTGTTCTTGTTTATTAATTAGATCAAAGTCCAGATGTAATTAATGTCTCTGTGAAGGATCTACAAATACAGGGAAACTACTGGCATGTGTAACCTAGAGTTGCTGGGAGTCTGTGACCTCTCCCCTTCTCTCTCTTTGGTTTAAGTCGGGATTCACAGATAGGCTCAGTTTTCATGTCCTTGGATTCTAACGGTTACTTAGTCAAAATTCTGCTTATGACTAAGGATGTCACATCTTCATCTTGAAGACCAATTTGTTATGTCTCCTTGTAGCAGTATGTACCTCAAAATTTATATTATTAGCCCAAGTTTACCTTCCCTCTGATCAATCACTCTCTACCCCTCTGTGACCTTTACTTCCCAGCTCAGTTGACCTTCAACTTTGCAAAGGCCAACTTGGTAGCTTTGGCAACATCTAACAACTCCCCCCTCCCCTCCCAATCTGAGACCTTCCCCACCCCTTGCACACACCATTACCAGTTGTAAGAGGTTATGTCAGGTGTGTAAAATCAGCTGTAAGCATTTACAAACAACACCAGCAAAGTCAGTGGCAGTGGAGGCATACCCTGCTGCTAAATCTAGTGCTAGTAATCTAGTGCTGGTCTCTCTACACATCCCCTGTTGCTATAGTCTAGTGCTGGTCTCTCTACACATCCCCTGCTGCTACAATCTAGTGCTGGTCTCTCTACACATCCCCTGCTGCTACAATCTAGTGCTGGTCTCTCTACACATCCCCTGCTGCTACAATCAAGTGGTGGTCTCTCTACACATCCCCTGCTGCTACAATGTAGTGATGTTCTCTCTTCACATCCCCTGCTGCTACAACCTAGTGCTGACTGACTACTGTACCGTACCTACAGTTACTGTACCATACCTACAGTTACTGTACCGTACCTACAGTTACTATACCGTACCTACAGTTACTGTACCGTACCTACAGTTACTGTACCGTAACTACAGTTACTGTACCGTACCTACAGTTACTGTACCGGTCCTACAGTTACTGTACCGTACCTACAGTTACTGTACCGTACCTACAGTTACTATACCGTACCTACAGTTACTGTACCTTACCTACAGTTACTGTACTGTACCTACAGTTACTGTACCGTACCTACAGTTACTGTACCATACCTACAGTTACTGTACCGTATCTACAGTTACTGTACCGTACCTACAGTTACTATACCGTACCTACAGTTACTGTACCCTACCTACAGTTACTGTACCCTACCTACAATTACTGTACCGTACCTACAGTTGCTGTACCGTACCTACAGTTACTATACCGTCCCTACAGTTACTGTACCCTACCTACAATTACTGTACCGTACCTACAGTCACTGTACCGTACCTACAGTTAGTGTACCTTACCTACAGTTACTGTACCGTGCCTACAGTTACTGTACCGTACCTAAAGTTACTGTACCGTACCTAAAGTTACTGTACCGTACCTACAGTTACTGTACCGTACCTACAGTTACTGTACCATCTGTGTAATAACAGTCTGACTATACATACCATTCCTTTATAACTTTACCTTATCATCCGATATTCAATTACTGGGACAGAACATGTATTGAGAAGATTTGGTATCATTCTGATTTATATGTAAAAGTATCTTAGCACTGTGTTTATCTCCCTCCAGTCTAGCCATATTTAGTGGAAACACGGATCTCAAGGAGATGGCCACTTCACCCTCAAACTTACTTCACAGCACTCAATTATATAATCTTTTGCAATATAGTAGTTATACATGTTTTTTCTCCCTGTTTTTCTCACTTTGTTATGTACGAATGATAAGTTGAATGTGTGTTTTGTTGTTACAGAGATCCTACACCCTTATCTTAGAGGCTTGGGACCAGGATACCATGTCATGTGAGTACAGAATCAATGTTTATCTCATACCAAACATATTCCACACCTTTACTGCTTCAAAGGGATTGTGATTGGAATCGGAGAACGAATCAAGAAATAATTATCTTGCAAAAATAATTATTAATACTGTATTGACATAAATATTTTTCAATTTATCAATTAGAGATAATTTATCTACAAAAAATACATTTTTCTTTTGAGGGCAATCAATCCTGAAGCTAGCTAAATGTGTATAAAAACAATATATTACTAAGTAATACATTGATACGATCCACTTACACACACACAGCGACGGCATCACATACTGCAATACTTTAATCCTCTGTCAATCCTTGTTAAATAAATAGGTATTTAAACTGCGGGATTTGCAGTATTTACCTACTTGATACTGTTTTGGAAAGCTTGTGAAATGCCTCTGATCCCTAACACTACCTATGATATAGGGAATACAGAGTCTAAACGTTAACTAGCTAGGGTAAAGGACACACCTATAACTAGCTAGGATATAGAACGTAATACTGGCTAGGATATAGATCGTAACACAAGCTAGGATATATTCACTGGACAGTCCTAACACTAGCTAAGATATATTCACTAGACAGTCCTAACACTAGCTAGGATATATGTATAAGGCAGACCTATTACTAGCTAGCATATAGGATAGTCTTAACTCTGGCTAGGACACATTAAGGCAAACCTAAGGCTAATACTAACTAGGATATAGGACAAACCTTATACTAACTAGGATATATGCAAACCTTATACTAACTAGGATATAGGACAAACTTTATAATAGCTAGGATATAGGACAAACTTATACTAACTAGGATATAGGACAAACCTTATACTAACTAGGATATAGCTAGGACAAACCTTATACTAGCTAGGATATAGGACAAACCTTATACTAACTGGGATATAGGACAAACCTTATAGTAGCTAGGATATATGCAAACCTTACAGCAGCTAGGATATAGGACAAACCTTATAATAGCTAGGATATAGGACAAACCTTATACTAGCTAGGATATAGGACAAACCTTATACTAGCTAGGATATAGGACAAACCTTATACTAACTAGGATATCGGACAAACCTTATACTAACTAGGATATAGGACAAACCTTATAGTAGCTAGGATATAGGACAAACCTTATACTTACTAGGATATAGGCAAACCTTATATAGGGATGTAGGATAGACCAAATAATATTAATAGCTAGGATATAGACCTAATAAAAATAAAAATATAGGACACTCAGAAAAATGTTCTCTAGCCTAATAAAATATAGGACAGAGATAACACTAGCAATGGTATAGGAACTAACTAGCTAGCTACCAGTGGCTAGGGTGTAGAGAGTTATAGAGATCTAGAGTATGCAGTTATTTTGTATCAGTACTAGCCTTACCCTTTCATTACAGTGAGTTTTAGTACTGACATATCTACACAGTTATCAGATAAATGGCTGCAGCTCACCTCACAATTTTAGAGTTCCTGGTGCAGAAATTACGTGAGAGCTAGCGAGAAACAGGTAGACCTCCCATTAGATTGTATTATGTCTGCAGGGTGAGAAAACCAAATTAAGTTGGTGTTAAAATTACCCAAAGAACATATTTTATTTCAGATCTGAAGTTTTTGTAATTCCTGTACAACTGTCATTGTAAAGACCATTTAACTATGTATGATATATTGCCCTGGATGTCAACATGATATACACTACACGCCTTTATTTAGATGTTAGCAAGCTTCACACATTCTAACGACCCTCCATTGACCTCCCTATTTGTGAAGTTATGACTTATTCTAACTAGCACCAACTGTCAGTAATAGACCAATTCATACAAATTCTCCTGATTTGCTTCCTAAATTCTATTTGCCGAGGAAATGAGCCCCATCTATTTAGTTTATTTGGTGGATGCGAATGTTTGCGTATAGGTAGACATTAACCTATCGTTAAACCTTTTGCTGCCTTAAACCTATCGTTAAACCTTTTGCTGCCTTAAACACCGTAAACAGGTTGTTATTGTGGGCATATAGGCATCACTTCACTTTCCAAATATGTCAACGTTGTAATTATCTACATTTCATGAAAAGTTTGAATCAAGTTAAAGGTACTTCTGTTTAGAAATGCATAATTATATTTGCATATATTTTGAACGAGTTTTCATGACAAAGATTGGAGAATTTTCCCATAGCCTAACTGTCTGTGGCTAAGTTATTGGCCCTGATTTAAACTTTATAAAGATAAGTTTGTCTCTAATGATGATGCAGTCCCGTCACTTTCAATTGTTATTTTTGTGTTAGTTCTTATTATCAAATAAAAATCAGTAAGGTACATTTATTTGTTTGAAAGTGTGTTTATTCGTGAAATTATGTTTTTTGTGAGATTCCATCTTTCAGTTTCCATATGACAACGGAAAAAATGTATCACATGACCAATTTGAAATGAAATAAGTACAGGCCCCACATAATCAGCACCTCAATGAGGGAATTCGTGTAAGGGTTTTCTGATGTAAAGTTAGACCCAGTGAGTTCACTGAATGTAAAACCACTGTGTGAACAGGCAGCAATATCACCAACTTTCACTAGGGTCAAATTCTGAAAAATGATTTTCATCCTATTCTCTTATTTGGTACAGTGATGTGCTGGAAGCCGAAGTGAAAAATCTAGCTTACCAAGAGAGTTTAAATGGAAATGTTATTAACCGCATGCAGTGAAGAACCATGTGAGAAGGGAAAGTAATCCAAAACGACATTGTTAGGCCTTTATTACTATCGATACAAAATATCACAAATTCACCTCACATTGAAAAGTTCTCAAGGAGGGGTTTAAATGTAATTAAGGTAATAACTGTGATTGTGTACAAAGATTGACCAAGGGACTTTGTACTTCTTCATGGTCACAGACTTCTTAAAAGAAATGAACATTTATTACTAATAATCATGTTTTTAAAGTTCCTCACAACGTTTTTTTTAATTTAGGTAAGGATCAGAAAGAATTTTGAAAAAATGTTGGTTAATTATCATGATGATAGGAACTGGTTTTTACAGGGAGACCTTTGGTCCTGTATAGAGTTACGATTGTTTACAGAAGCAGGAACATCTGTTAGCAAAGCTTGTTTTTTTCACGATATTGATATCATTATGTTATGACCTCATGGCTGTAATTTTAAAATGTTTAAAAAACCTGAAATAAAAACTTTATGAATTGAATTAGTTAATCAAAGAAATATTTCCAAAGAAGTTACAAAGAAGTAAGAAATCTGGAGCAGGGCATTGCTGGACCTTGGCCATGCAGTCACAAATTACCATGGACAGGCAGCTGTCTCACATAGAAGCTTTCACCAGGCAGTGGGTTATGTAGAAGTGTTTTAAACAAGTCAAGGGTCCAGGTGACCATGACCTGTGGTTTCATGTTACTGAATTTTTTTCTTCCTTTTTATTTTGCTTTTTCAAATAAGAAGTCACAGTAGGAAGGATATGCACAGTATATTCACCCTAACAGATGAATCCATGTCACTTTTTGATCTCACTGTCTAATTAAAAATCTGCCAGCTTTGCTGGGAAAATGATAGCCACTCAATCAGATAGATCAGTCAAAGAGCTTCTGACTTTGTTTGAACAGCTTGCATCTAAAGTTGAATCTTGTGTCTTGTCATAAGCTGTCAGTTGGTGTTTGATGAGCCTGCTAGGAATGTTTCTGCCTCCTGTTTACACCTAACTGGAAGCAGTGAGGTCATAGTTCAAGGACAAAGTCAATGGCATCCTGGAATAAAAAAATGTATACAGTACTCAAAACATCAATCAAAATTTTAATATCTTGCAATTTTGAAGCACAGAAATTATTTTCAATAGAATTAATTATCTGAAGAATTCAACTTTCCAGTTTCAATAAAACATTGGCTGTAATGATATCTTATTTCATGGGGTTAGTATCTATTTCAATTATGGTTCTAACACAGTGTATAATTGGATGTAATATATTTTCATTAGCATGATAAATTTTATTCAATTATTTTGAAAACACATCCAATATTTAATTAAATTTGATATTGAAGCTGAGGTAGGTAATCTGAGGGTGAGATCTATGGAGGTTGTGACCTGAGGCTGTGAGGTGAGGTTGAAGATGAAGGATATAGCTATCTTATCAGACCTGAGGGCCACCTATCAGATCAGGCTGGGCAGACCAATTTTTAGAAGTGAAAATTGAAAGATGTATTTAATGGAAATTGATAAAGTATATCATAGGTTATGTGGCACTTGGGGGCAGGAGATAGGTGCCCGACTATAGGGGTCTGTGGATGGTAGGGCTGGGGGAACTGAAGGGGAGTAGGGGCTGTGTGGATGTGTACTCCAGGACTTGGGCTGTAGTAGAAACTGTAGTAGATCCAGCTCGATAGTGCTTATTTCAATTATGATGAGGAATTTGGTAGAAAACACAAGTTATGATAAGGGGTAATATGCTATGATAAAATCACGAGATTTATAGAGTCTTCCCGAAGCAGATGTGTTTCTCCAGCCTGCTCATCAGAGGGTGATGGCTGGGTTAGAACTAGCTGTTTTCACTTGTAGAATTTTATAGAGTATCATCTTTAGTTTTTCCTTGGGCAGAAATTAGGTGCAGTTTTGAGCGGCCTTGTGGGTATAGAGTCCATTATGAATCTCTTTACTGATACCACTGATGTTTTTTTCTGCTAATGAGCTAACACACCTAACATTATCAGGGTATTCTCTACAGGCTGACGGATTCCCCACTGTCCCTCTTTTCTCCAGGATATAAAAAGACTAGTATGACATAAAAATGTGAACTTTATCTGTTCCAGCTGCTAATTTCAGTCATCAAACTGGAGCGGTTAGCTCCCAAGCATTGCCTAACTTCTATCTGTGGGATGCCCCAGGCAAGTGTAGTACAACTTTGTTTACGTTACATGCTGGCTTCAGCAGCTAGAAGTGAAGCCCTTGGGGTTTGGGAAGTGCTATAGCAGGATAATTATTCCGATTTCAATTATAATGTGGTCATTTATTTCAGCAACGTTCCTCCATGTTAATTCTTCAATTTAATATTTTTTTAGCATTTGTATTTTACATTTGATAATGTGTAGTCTGGATCCTACAGTGTAGAACACATATTGATAAAGATGACCAGGCTTCCTTAGGAAAATAATCCCTGTTACAGTTATACATAATAGTGTAGATGTGGTTATAGGTCTATGAACAATTAGAGCAAGAGGTGTTATTTCAAGTGTATCAGCTATCAACACAATAAAAAGGGCTGCTTAGGACACAGAAATTGGGGGATTTTCAGGGTAACTTGAGATTACTGGGTAACAACTAGTCATGTGACTTTTCATCATTATTTTGTCATTATGTCATCATTTTTGTTTTTTTAATTTTGGCCTTAGCCATGTATTGTTGAGTGCCTGTGGGGTACACCTGGCAGCTGGCAGAAGGCTGCTGTTGTTGTCAGGTTACTGGCAGAACTTAGCTTGGAATCTTTTCAAACTTGTATATATTACAATAAGCTATTATGTAATAGCATATCTAGGACAATTAGCAGAAGTCATACAACACAATTCTTTACAGTGCTGTAAACATTTTGTAGAGGAATTACAAACCAGTTAACAATGAACAGAGCAAGGATCATGATTTTAAAAAGGGATTCAACATGGTAGAGACAAGATTATTACATGTCCACCAAACCATACACAGGAATATATAAGATGTCCGCCTCAACCTGGACAGGAATACAAGATGTCCGCCCCAACCTGGAGAGGAATATAACATTTCTCCCAACACATCCAATATTTAATTCCGTTTTGCCGGTGCTAGATTTATCTGTCTCCGCCCTAGGGTTGAGACGGGGGGGGGGGATTCCCCTATTTATAACAATGGTATGACGTCACTGCAACAATACAATGACGTCACTGCAACAATCCATCAACGTCACGTCAACCGTGAATTTAGCATGTAACGTTATCATTAAATTGTGTATATGATACACATTGGGGAAAACAGGGTAAGAGAAAAAGAATCATTCACCCCCTTGTGGGTAAGATAGGGGAATCTCAACCCTCGGGTTGAAATTCCCCTATCTCACCCCAAAGGGGGTGAATGATTCTATTAGTCCATCCCACCCTGGACAGGAATATAACATGTCCACCCCACCATGGACAGGAATTTAACATGTCCATCCCACCCTGGACAGGAATATAACATGCCCGCCCCACCATGGACGGGAATATAACATGTCCGCCCCACCATGGACAGGAATATAACATGTCCGCCCCACCATGTACAGGAATATAACATGTCAATCCCACCCTGGACAGGAATATAACATGTCCGCCCCACCATGGACAGGAATATAACATGTCAATCTCACCCTGGACAGGAATATAACATGCCCGCCCCACCATGGACAGGAATATAATATATCCGCCCCACCATGGACAGGAATATAACATGTCCACCGTAACCTGGACAGGAATATAACATGTCCATCTCACCCTGGACAGGAATATAACATGTCAATCTCACCCTGGACCGGAATATAACATGTCAGCCCCCCCCCCATGGACAGGAATATAACATGTCAATCTCACCATGGACAGGAATATAACATGCCCGCCCCACCATGGACAGGAATATAATATATCCGCCCCACCATGGACAGGAATATAACATGTCCGCCCCACCATGGACAGGAATATAATATGTCCGCCCCACCATGGACAGGAATATAACATGTCAATCCCACCATGGACAGGAATATAACATGTCAATCCCACCCTGGACAGGAATATAGCATGTCAGTCCCACCCTGGACAGGAATATAACATGTCAGCCCCACTCTGGAGAGGAATATAACATGTCCATCTCACCCTGGACAGGAATATAACATGTCCATCTCACCCTGAACAGGAATATAACATGTCCATCTCACCCTGGACAGGAATACAACATGTCCGCCCCAACCTGGAGAGGAATATAACATGTTCGCCCCAACCTGGAGAGGAATATAACATGTCCGCCCCACCCTGGAGAGGAATATAACATGTCCATCTTACCCTGGACAGGAATATAACATGTCCATCTAACCCAGGAGAGGAATATAACATGTCCGCCCCAACCTGGACAGGAATATAACATGTCCATCTCACCCTGGACAGGAATATAACATGTCCATCTCACCCTGGACAGGAATATAACATGTTCATCCCACCCTGGAGAGGAATATAACATGTCCATCTTACCCTGGACAGGAATATAACATGTCCATCTAACCCAGGAGAGGAATATAACATGTCCGCCCCAACCTGGACAGGAATATAACATGTCCATCTCACCCTGGACAGGAATATAACATGTCCATCTCACCCTGGACAGGAATATAACATGTTCATCCCACCCTGGACAGGAATATAACATGTCAGCCCCACCCTGGACAGGAATATAACATGTTAGTCCCACCCTGGACAGGAATATAACATGTCAGCCCCACCCTGGACATGAATATAACATGTTAGCCCCACCCTGGAGAGGAATATAACATGTCCATCCCACCATGGACAGGAATATAACATGTCAGCCCCACCCTGGACAGGAATATAACATGTCAGCCCCACCCTGGACAGGAATATAACATGTCAGTCCCACCCTGGACAGGAATATAACATGTCCATCTCACCCTGGACAGGAATATAACATGTCCGGCTTTATACAGGTAGTTACCAGAGTACCTGTATGGTTACCTGAGTAGACCTGTATATTTATTTACCTGAGCAGAACCTGTATTATTACCTGAGTATTACCTTTGTGGTTACCGAAATGCCTGTTTATTTTCCTGATTAGTACCTGTGTAGTTACTTATTTCCCTTGGAAACAGTTTATTAGATCAACTGAATCCTAAAAAGGTTAAAACTGTAATCAAGCTTTTTCATCCTTAGTTGCTTAATCTTCCCTTCCTCTAGACAGGGACCACCCTGCAAACTTAAAGCCATTACAAACATTAAATATAGTATTATAAATTATATATGTGGTATTCCAATCTAGATGCTTGCCTGTTATCCTGATGGAATTTTACATAGCAAGGTATACAACTACTTCTCTGGGATGCCACACAATACAGAGTGTCAGAATTCCTTCACAGGAGCTCAATTATAGTGTCAGCATGCAGGAACATTGCTTTGGGTTTTTTGGGACATTTATGGTTAGCATGTATTTTAAGAACAAACAGTCTATCAGTGCATGTATCTGGCATGTGTGAAATGTCTCTGGGTAGAACACATAGTACCCGTCAGTGATGGGGATAGGGGGAAAAGTACACGTATAGTGTTGTATCAGTCAGCCTACCATAGGGTACAGTGAAGGGAGATAACTCTATGGGATATTTCAGGCTATTGATAGAACTTTGCCAATAGCACATAGGGACTCAATCTCCTAGTCCACTGAGAGAGCTTAATGTAATAGGGAACAGACTGCATGAATTGCTGGTGTCCAGGTAGCTCATTTAATTAGAATGTCCGTCTAAAGTTTAGAGGGTCAAGGTTTTCTGTTCTCCTGTTACATTTGGCACCCAACACGTTATCCCCACAAAAGGTTGTTTAGGGTCTTGTGTATCTTTGGGGTTGAAGTTCAAATCCTGGTCTGGATGTGCATTTTGCCAATCCTATTACATATTACTTTAAAAATCTGCTAAACTGTGATAAAATATAAGCCAACACTGAGTATATTTTTTTTAGAAAAAACACAACAACTTTGCCCTAC